CCCCCTAAGCCATAACCTCATGCTCCGGCCATAGACCATACCTTCATGCTCTGCCCATAGACCATACCTTCATGCTCTGCCCATAGACCATACCTTCATGCTCCGCCCAGAGACCATACCTTCATGCTCCGCCCATAGACCATACCTTCATGCTCTGCCCATAGACCATACCTTCATGCTCTGCCCATAGACCATATCTTCATGCTCCGCCCAGAGACCATACCTTCCTGCTCCGCCCATAGACCATACCTTCATGCTCCGCCCATAGATCATACCTTCATGCTCCGCCCATAGACCCTACCTTCATCCTCCGCCCATAGACCCTACCTTCATGTTCCGCCCATAGACCATACCTTCATGCTCCGCCCATAGATCATACCTTCATGCTTCGCCCATAGACCATACCTTCATGTTTCGCCCATAGACCATACCTTCATGCTCCGCCCATAGACCATACCTTCATGTTTCGCCCATAGACCATACCTTCATGCTCCGCCCATAGATCATACCTTCATGTTTCGCCCATAGACCATACCTTCATGTTTCGCCCATAGACCATACCTTCATGCTCCGCCCATAGACCATACCTTCATGCTCCGCCCATAGACCATACCTTCATGCTCCGCCCATAGACCATACCTTCATGCTCCGCCCATAGACCATACCTTCATGCTCCGCCCATAGACCATACCTTCATGCTCCGCCCATAGACCATACCTTCATGCTCCGCCCATAGACCATACCTTCATGCTCCGCCCATAGACCATACCTTCATGCTCCGCCCATAGACCATACCTTCATGCTTCGCCCATAGACCATACCTTCATGTTTCGCCCATAGACCATACCTTCATGCTCCGCCCATAGACCATACCTTCATGCTCCGCCCATAGACCATACCTTCATGCTCCGCCCATAGACCATACCTTCATGCTCCGCCCATAGACCATACCTTCATGCTCCGCCCATAGACCATACCTTCATGCTCCGCCCATAGACCATACCTTCATGCTCCGCCCATAGACCATACCTTCATGCTCCGCCCATAGACCATACCTTCATGCTCCGCCCAGAGATCATACCTTCATGCTCCGCCCATAGACCATACCTTCATGCTCCGCCCAGAGACCATACCTTCATGCTCCGCCCATAGACCATACCTTCATGCTCCGCCCATAGACCATACCTTCATGCTCCGCCCAGAGACCATACCTTCATGCTCCGCCCATAGACCATACCTTCATGCTCCGCCCATAGACCATACCTTCATGCTCCGCCCAGAGACCATACCTTCATGCTCCGCCCATAGACCATACCTTCATGCTCCGCCCATAGACCATACCTTCATGCTCCGCCCATAGACCATACCTTCATGCTCCGCCCATAGACCATACCTTCATGCTCCGCCCATAGACCATACCTTCATGCTCCGCCCATAGACCATACCTTCATGCTCCGCCCATAGACCATACCTTCATGCTCCGCCCATAGACCATACCTTCATGTTTCGCCCATAGACCATACCTTCATGCTCCGCCCATAGACCATACCTTCATGCTCCGCCCATAGACCATACCTTCATGTTTCGCCCATAGACCATACCTTCATGCTCCGCCCATAGACCATACCTTCATGCTCCGCCCATAGACCATACCTTCATGCTCCGCCCATAGACCATACCTTCATGCTCCGCCCATAGACCATACCTTCATGTTTCGCCCATAGACCATACCTTCATGCTCCGCCCATAGATCATACCTTCATGCTTCGCCAATAGACTATACCTTCATGCTCCGCCCATAGACCATACCTTCATGGTTCGCCCAGAGACCCACCTTTGATCGCAACCCATGAACACACCTTAATACTCCACTCATAAACCTGCCTTTCTTTCACTTGTTACTCTTAGGACCTCCTTGTATCCTTAGTTCATAGACCCAACTTTCATCTTCTGCCTGCAGACCCGCCTTTCATCCTCTGCCTGCAGACCCGCCTTTCATCCTCTGCCTGCAGACCCGCCTTTCTTCTTCTGCTTTTCTTTCATTGCCTATTGGCCCATCTGACATCCATTAGCCGTAGACCCACCCTTCATCCCCCACCCGTAGACCCACCCTTTATCCCCACCCTTCATC